TCTATAGGGGAGAGGAAGACTAAGAAAGATATTGCCATATTTTTTTAATGCTACTAGTATCTATGAATGTGCGCTACAAGTTAATAATGGCACGTAATGGCTTAAACATTTAAATCATCTAAAAGCCAAAAAATATTATTACATTAGCATAATACATGAATTCTAAATAAAAGGACATCATTCGAACTTACACAAATGATTAATTTAGTCATGTTAGTTAGAAAATTACGTATTATACTTTAAAAGTATTTGATGTGATGGTAACTTACCGAATACTTTTTTCTAAATGATGCTTTTTTGTGTGTGTGTGTATGTTAATTTCCTTCTAATGCTTTGGTTGCTCTGTCGTAACCAGAACTCTTGTTGTCGGTATTGATATTCCTCTTGAAAGTGCAACATATAGTTGTTCGTGCAAGAAAACATATTGCATATAGTCTAATATTTAGAATATTTTTCTTTGTGCTTTATTTATTATAATTACAAAATATAAACATACCTAAAATGATTTTGACACAAATTTAAAAGGATACTCTTTAGTTTCAGAAGACAAAAGTTAAATTCAGGGATAAAAATATATTTAGAAGTACATTGACCAGTATCATAATTTTTTCATGTATAACATACAGTTGTTCGCGCAAGAAAACATATTGCATATAGTCTAATATTTAGGATGTTTGTCTTTGTGCTTTATTTATTATATAGTTATTGTCAAAATTTCTATATACCATCTATGTGCTATTACATAAGTTATTCGGCGGATCTAAGTTTTTCAGTAGCATGACGGGCATATATTTTTTTCGAAATCAATATATATGCAATGGAAGATCAATTTTAACTTAGTATATTATATATATGGTGACACAAACATAAATAATAATTAATAAACTTGACAACAAACATGTGTGGTAGAAGGGCATTTGGTATTAAAATATTTAAATATTCTTCTTGGTAATAATTGTTGGTATCATCTTCTGCTGAGCCAAAAACTGAAAAATATTTTATTTTACCATAAAATTTCACAATCAACCTTTTATTTAATTGATCAATATATTCATTTTTGCTAACTAAGATAGCTTTTTAATTTCTATCATGCAATTTCCACAAATAGCATTTTAATATAATGATAGAAATATTTTCCCTATTAAATGCATTATTATTTCGAAATCATCTTTTTTTAGCTGCTCTTCTTTGTTTCCAACATGAAGCAAGAAGTAACCAAATACTAGATTTGTTATTACTTTATATTTCTTATCAGTTTTTCATTTGAGGCAATAAGTATTATTTTGGCAAGCTAGTTTTTACAGTCTTTGCTTTCGTCGATTTTGAAACTATTGGTAGTACTTGATAGAAATCTCCTTCCAACCAAACGGTTCGTTGATATTCAATATATCTGCAGAACTCAGAGCAATTATTTCGATCGTTTGACACTTAGCTATAAGCACTTCATCCTATATTATCAATTTTGCTTTCTTTATAAGTTTAGCAACATTACTCTGCTTTGATATATTTGTGATGGTTATTTCATTTGGTTGAAGAGGTATATCAAATCTAAAGTGAGTGACCTCATAATAAAATCGTTGCTGGTACACCATTTGTTATTATTGCTAACAGTATCATGCCTTTTGATTGACATTTGCAAGTAATACATGACATAAAAATATTATTTTGATTTCGACGGAGGCATCTACAAAAGATAATCCCGCTATACAGGAGTCGACTCTTTATAATATAGTCTTGAAAGTTTGTTCTTGTTCAGGATTTAGGTTTGATTGTGCTTCAACAGACAATTTTATGGCCGTTTGATTCTCAATACTATACTAACTTATTTTAGTTTGTGTTCTAATTTTGTTAATCTATAACGCTCTTTTTATGGAATAAATTTATGTACCTTAAGATTTTTTTTTTTAACTTGAAAATACTTTTACTCATATGATAAATTTAAAAATAATTAAATTGGATTCTCTCACTAAATAATTAATTGATAGATTTTATTGTTTGGTCTTAACATAAAAAATAATTTATTTTATTTTGATTCATATTCTTACTATTAGTTAAAGATTTAATCTTAATTATAATTTTATCCACCATAAATTTTATTTTTAAAGAGTAAAAAGATAGATTTGACATTTCACTTTTAGGTCTTTATGTTTGCAGAATCATTAATGATATTGACTCTTGCCAACTATTTTTCTTTTTCTTTCTCACACATTTATATTCTTAAATATTTTCTTAGTTATTGATATTACACGAAAAATCAATTAAAAATATATTATTTGAGTAGGAAAACAGTTCAAATTAATATAAAGATATATTATGGGGATATATTTTTTCGCTCAATTTCAATCCTTTATGCAATCCATTTAATAGTACATTTATTTTTTCTTGGTATTGGATATTATGGAGTGGTAATGTACTGCTAATATGAAGGATTCTTATAAAATTAATTTAATTTTTACATACTTTTAATAAGAATTTAATAGACAAAATTTATTAATTTTAAAATTTTAAATACTAAAAAAATCAACAAGAAGGTCTTGTAGTCCAAAAAAATCGGTTATTTTATTATATCCTTTACCTATGAGTTCTTCTATTTAATATTTAGGACTATTTTGCTCTATCAATATTGTATTCGTATTTTTATAATAATATAGGCTCTCATTTTTCTAAATAGATTTGGACAATATAATATACTCTCAAATTAAATTAGTAATAGGACATTATTAAACATTTTCAAATTAAATAAGCAACAAAAAATTTTAACGTGGAATAATTATACTAATGGGATTCCAAACGTGTAGAATTATGTCCTAAAATTAATAGGATTACAAGGCTAATATCTAGAATTCCAGTTAAGTCCTTTTATTGTGAGTTATTATACTTAATGTTATAAGGTAATTTTTTTAAACCGACATTGTATTCATGCTTTTATAATAATATAGATAATAAAATTACAAGGCATTGCTTTGAATATTATTTTACAATATTTTTGTCTTTAAATTTGAATAAAAAAATTAGGTCACAATTCTATAATAAATTTACAAGGCATTGCCTTAAATATTTCTTTTTAACATCTTTTTGTCTCTAATTTCTATTTAATTTTTAAATAAATCACTATTTAGTCGTTGGGCCCACTTAGCCCACGGGCCCAGCCCATTTAGCCAGGGACCATGAGTTTGTGGGCCCGGTCCCAAGCCGGTTCCTATAAAAAGACCGTTTAGCCCATTTCTTTAAGGACCGGGACCAGACTGGGACAGCGGCCCACGAGACCGGCCCGTTTAGGGTCCAGACCAGCCCACTTGCTAGCCCGTCATCGAAATTCCAACAAGAAAAGGGGAGCCCGAAAAAGCTCCAAACTCCAACCATGGCAAAATTCAAATTGATAAAAAATTAATCCCTTGCTTCGCCATTGTTAGAGGAAATTATGAGCTTTAGAAGAAAAAATCTTGTAGAATCGTTGTAGAAAGAGGGTTGATTTGAGAGAGAGAGAAATCCTTTAAAAAGATTGGGGTTTATCTGGGTAAGGAATTGTGAGGATTTTTCGAGATTTACTAAATAAAAAGGCTACAATCAAGGAATACACATTTAAAAACTAATTTGTATATAATTGATAAATTGTACATGACCGTGTAATTGAGTGAAAACTTGATTAGGAAGGGTAAATAAGTTTCATATGTAGTATAGGTAGGTAAAAATCCCTACTTGGTAGATGCATGTCTAACATACTAACTTCTCCTTCTCACTAATTATTTGTCCAATATGACCACCAAAAATGTCTCCTCCAAATGTCCTCAATGTGTATCAAGTTTCAAGACTGCCAATATTATTTTTCTCCTCTCCTCTTTGCCAATACCAAGTCAAACTACCGAGTAAGACTTCTAAACAACATATGCAAACCGAGGGCACTATGAGAAAGAGGAAAGAGTTAAAGCCATAGAGATTTTCTTTTGAAGTACCAAGTGAAATGTCCTAAAAGTATCACTACAGATCAATAATAACGTTTGGTCTATGCAATTTTATGAGCTACAATGGGTTATCCAGTGAGGTGAAACACCATACATATGCTTCACAAGGGTCGAATCCCAGCCTCTATGTAAGCCCTCTGGAATGTCACTGCATTATACCTCCAGCGGCATAATGTATGCATGCCTATGTATATATATCTGGTTCATGGTTATGTTAATTCCTAAATTTCTTTTTCTGGAAATACAAAGTTCCATATCCCATGCCATGTTAGAATGCGATAGTTGCACCAGTAACCCATGCCCAATAGCCCTCCCGCCTCCGGAAACCATCCAACCCCCTCTCTCCCCAAAATATCATTTCTAACCTAAAAACAATGTACTTTAACATTTATTTGGATAATCAATTGCATAAGCCATCTAAAGTTCAAGTGAATCAAGCATAAACTGTCTTTTGAGAATTGGTAACAAAGAATATTACTATAATAGGACGAAAAAAGGCAACATAGATAATTCTGAAATACTCCACTTCTTGGTAATAACCTTTACAATGCAAGTAGCTCATTGTATGAATGTTCATTCCAAAGTCATCATGATTTACTAGCAATTCGATGGGCTTTAAAAAGCACATCAGAATGATAGCCTAATTCAAAAAAGAAAAAAAGTTACAAGATAGCACGGTCTGCAAGCTAAAGTAGCTAATCCTTACATCTGAATTTTAAGTTGGAATATTGTGACTATTTAAATAAGTTAAGGTTGCCATTTGGGCCTTTTGGGGGTGGGGGGGG